TTCATTGAGTTGTATGATTGTGAGTAGTGTTTGTTTGGGGACAAGCAAAGTTCAAGTGTGGCGTATTTTTTTATAACACTCAAATTATGGTGTTTATCACTCTTATATTTGATACATTTTCCCATTTTACCAATACATCTTTAAGAATTTTTTTACAATATGATAACTATTTAATCAATGAGCTACTATTAGACCTAGATTGTGTTTTTTATTACCCTCTGCTTGAGTGGAGAGCTTCGCATCCATAGGAGGGGGCACAATCAAGTGCATGTTTTCGTTATCGATGGTGTTACCCTCCTTTTCTTCTATGTATAACTAGTTTGAATTGATTGTGTAGGAATTGGAACTCGTTATAACATGAATATTTCATTCAATGATTTTGTGTTATGCTTGTCTATGGTGCTTGAGTATTTCGATATTTATGCTATGTCATGGATGCTTATATTTCAATGTTCATGATTCTATTGTATGCTAGTATATGTATAGTCTATAATATCATCTGTGATGTTAGGAAACTATTTTCTTTTGATATCCCATTGTCTAATGTGTGTATAAGAGGATTGATCACCCATCCATACAAGTATAGGATCAATGCTTGATTGTTTAGATCACCATTTCTTTAGACCTTATGTTAGCTCGAGAGACTCACACTTGACTAAGTTTATCCTTAATTCTCTGTTCTTTATTAGTTAGTTGATGGCATGAAGTGAAAGCACGCATTAGCTAGCTACTGTTCCTCTCGCATTTGGCGAAAGCTCTGTTAGGAATGCTCTAGTAGAAGGGATACGGTGATACAATAGATGAATCGTTGAAATGCATGATATGAATAAGAATTAAGATGCATGTTTATGTAGAGTGATCTTTCTACTCAATAATGGAACTTTACTCTTCTGCTTTACTCTACCTTGCCTATATAAACTCGAAAATCACCTAGAGGTCGTTTGAATTAGTGTTTTGTTTGAGGGTTTTGTTCACAATCCCTCACAATGAGGGATTCTAATTACAATCACTCGTTTGGGAAACTTTTTTTTTATGAGAGATTTTAACTATCCCATATTTCAAAAATCCACATTTGTGGGATTGTGAAATAGCTAATGACCATAAGCTATTTTAAAATTCCTCAATATTTTGCCAATAAGTTCCAAATATGCCCAATTTTTTTTTTTTTATGAAGTCCAACTTCAACCTTCTTCTTTTAACCCTTTGTTACTCTATGTCATTCAATTTATCTTTGTCGCATTCGTGGAACCCGTCGTTCTGTTCTTCTCCCACCCAAATGAAGCAGCTCGAAGACGAACCAACGGTTGTCGCTGAGTGCTGAGTGGCAGTGACTCAACTTTGGAGACTAGGGAATCTGCAGCAAAAACTCAGCTACGGATAGCATTCGACAGTGAGCAGCAAAAACCCCTTCTTCGTTCTTCCTCCTTCGCTTTTCTGGTGGGATGCGCCTTCATCTCAATAAAAATCTTTTGTGTTCTGGGTTTGTGGTTGGCGGCAAATAGCCGTTCACTTTATAGCTTGCTTTGTGGTTGTTTGGCGAAGGAGAGAAAAGGTACCAACTCGTTTATGGGTTTTTGTTCAAACTTTGGGTACTGGATTACTGGAATCGATCAGCCAATTCTCTTGAACAGATTGCCACTAGAGAAATTGAGATATCGTAGAACCAGAGAAGAGAGAGATGAGTGTTGTGGTATTGATTGATTTGAAGTTGTAGATCCCAGCACCGTCCGCCATCAATTGAATTTCTTTGTAGATTAAACATAGATGCCCACCATCGTCTTGCTCTATGTGTTCATGGCGGCAACGGTAGTGGTCGTGTTTTGGTTTTATTTCAAGGACAACGGAAACTGATGAATGACATAATGAAATTTTGTGCGGTGAGAGTGAGGGGAGGAATGGTGGAGAAGAGAGCTCGACACGATAAGCAATGGCGAAGAACAGAGCCCCGTAGAGGAAGAAGGAACCCCCTCTATTCATCCTTTCTCTTCCCTCGTGTACAGATAAGGAAATTTAATGGGTAAAAATTAGATTTTCCATTTTCATTTTAAAATTCCTTATTAGTTGCCAAACGAGTGATTTGGCAAAAATCCCACACAAATCTCTCAAATTAAAACCTGGGTTTTAAAAAGAGTAATTTGATCCCAAATCCCTCTCAAATCTCTCGAATTAAAAACCTACATCTAAATGACACCCTAAATATATCTATCTTTTATCGATTTGTGTGTGGAGATGTGAGTAGCTACTTAGATGTGAGTAGTTATACATTAGAAGACTTTGCGGAATACGAACCTAGAGATTTCTAGGATTTATAACTTGCTTGTATTTGATCTGCATTAATATGAGGTACGTTACGTCGGTGGTAATTTTCAGAAAGGGAAGGTCGCTAATTGACCGAACCTTAAATAGCTCCGTCAAATGTGTACTACGATTACTTGCATGATGGCACGAGGAGAGTTGATCGTATGGTGTATCGATATCCAAACAGGGGTCGTTGTGGCATGAAGAATTTCTCATAACCACTCAGGAGGAAGTTGATGCCATGCTCGGATTTGTGATCGCCTATAACATTTACAAAGCATAGATGTTTGTTTACACCTACGAGGTTGAAGGAGGTGGAGGTCATCCTGGAGATGGCCAAACTTTTGGTATCTACGGTGGGGGTGGAGTATATGAAGATCATCCCTACCAAGGTTACCAGGATCATCATTCCTACTATAAGTACCAAAAAGGACGTGAAGCTCATTATCATCAATCCTTCCCATCATATGAAGAAGAAGACCAACGGTACTATGGCAACAAACAAAAAGGATACTAGTACCAACCCGTGTACAACTTCCATGCAGGTAGCAATAGTTATCACAACTACCATTACGGAGCTGATGAAGGTGCCTTTCAAGATCTAGATGAAATGGAAGATGCGCTGCCAGGTCCAATTAGTGACCCTGAAGATGAAGAAGAGGAAGGCAGCGTCAATGCAGACAGCTTTGACCCTCTTGAAGGTGCTCATGATTTAGGCTCAGATTCAGACTCAGCTGATGAGGAGGTGCCCCGTGAACGTGTGCCTATCACGTACTACATGGACATTCCAGATGAAAACTGGTGTGTTGATGCCGACATGGAGCTGCCAGATGTGCCAATATGGGGTCTAACCACTTATTGATCGTTCACACACACCACATCGCCATCGATGGGCAAATGGGTTAGGATGGCGATGTTCTTTAGTGTGATGGTGCACTCTCCTTCACAAAAGTTGATGTTGTGTGTCTCCTTTCGCCATCTCTCCACCAATGTTGTGATGAGTTGACGGTCGATCTTTATGCTGATAAAGTGCCTCATTGAATGCAACATTGCCCTTTTGAGATAGGGCAAGATAGCAAGGTTATATGGGAGCACATTGCTCGTACCCCTATAGCGGAAAATATAGTGTGCATCCCAGCGAAGAAAATTACAACCATAAGTTTATGATTTGTAAATACATAAATCTATTATAACAAACAATTGAAATTAACAAAATAAATACCATTTTCAATATATATACATAATTTCGTAAAACAAACATATTCAATTAAGTAAAATGTTTAGCATTTGAAAGATATACACATAAATCAATTAAACCAAATAATAAAAATTAACAAAATTAATTTTGTACACATGTACATAAATCCATTATATTATTTTGTAAATCGTATTGGTTGTTTTCAATAATTTAATCCAATACAGGTACACTCGTTAGACTCTTAGAAGAGGTATACATCTATTTAGAAACACGACCTTTTTGACAGAAAAAGGGGGGATCCGAGGTTCGCTTAAAAATCCGATTTTCCCAGGAAATGGGAGGATCTTGATGATCGCTTAAGAACTCATTTCCTTAGGCATGCATCTCTTTATAAAGAGTCTAAGTAAGTGACAAACTGTATTAGCCCAAATCATTGACAGTAATCAATAAGATTAACGATTAACAAATTTATTGTATGTAGAATTATATGTACCTCGTGATCGTTCCAAACATCCCTTAAAGGATGGTTAGGTTGGTCTATAGCACGCTTGCATCAATCGGTCCTTGATCAAGATAATATCTTTGATTGTATATATCCACGTTCTCCCCAACCTACGATAGCATAACAACAACATAAATTAATTAGTATATAGATTAAATAAAAAGAATTATAACAACACAAGGTAAAATGAGTACATACCGTTTGATACTCATCATAATAAATACCCTCTTCTTGGAACCAAGTATCCATTTTTCAGGAAGACAGACAGAGTTTCGACGCGTTTTCAAGAAAAACCCTAAGAAATGTTTTCTTATGACAGTTCGGATTTAGCCGCAACCAACAAACCGCTATTTCTTAGGTTTTGGGTGGAGAGGGGGATGGATAGAAAAATAATCTTACAGAGAGAAGAATGAGTTTTTTCGTTTTAGTTGAAGAAATAAAGGAGGGGGTTTATATAGCATTCGGACCGCCTGGTAGGTGGCGGTTTGGTAAGTTTACACGAAACGAAACCCCCCCTATCCCCCACCAACGGTTTTTGCAATTGAAACAGAAACCGCGCTTCGGGGGAGCGATTCTGGCATCCTCGACATGGACCGTTGGCCTGGCGCACGGTCCGCTTTCGGATCGCATCTTTATCCGACGTCCATAGACCGCCACATGGACAAGCGGTTTGTTGGCCGCCAAATCGCCCCCCCTGCGGTTCTCCTTAAAACCGCGCCTTCTCCATGCGGTTTCTATAAAATGATGGTATTTTTGAAAATTTTCTAAAAACGTGATATTTTTGGAATTTTATAGTTTAATGGTGGTGTTTCACTATTTCTAGAAAAATTACCAAGTTTTGCCTCTAGGTAATGAGCGAGGTTAAACAATGGAACGAATTATACCGCCATGTTTTCTAATTATTCAGTTTGTTTGATTTATAAATTGAGCGAGCTGTTTCTCTATTCTTCCTTCAACTATTGGTTTGTTCAGGATAGGAGTGCTAATGTTATACTTAGATCAGATGGGAATCCGCGGAGAAAGCCAACCGGCAGTCAACGTTGACTCAAATTGCTGCAATGTTATGATCACCAAAATGGACAAGGAAAGTGAAGATAGAACTGAGCTGTACATCTGGTGCAGAGAAACAAAATACCTGGCTGATGTTAATGCTCAAAGGTTCAGGTGGAGTAATGTTTCTTAACTGATTGATTGATAAGCTTCACATATTAGCATGCCATTTATTCTTCAGCTGATAACAGGGCATTACAGGTACTTTTTTGAAAAGAAATACAGCAAAGGGGAAGAGGAGGAGGAGGAGGAGGAGGAGGAGGAGAAGATAACATAACTATATATCCATGGTTGTCACGCCGGCCGGCGTGCCACCGGTTGTACCGGGTTCAACCGGTACCGGTCATAAAACCGGCGTGACACCACCGGTATGACCGGTATGATCGATATACGAATCTCTAAGTAAAATTATCTTATTTTAGAGAATTTAATTGATAAAAATTATTTTATTATTTATTTTATGAGTATAAAAGTTTAATATTGATGTTATTTGTTGGATTCAAGTATAAATGTTTAGGTATTGACGTTAAATGTTATGTTTAAATATGAGTATTTATAATTTTATTTGTAATATTGACCGGCATAAACCGGCACAAACCGGTATGTGCCACCGGTTGAACCATTCTACTTGCTAAACCGGCACACTGGCATAAACCGGTTTGACAACCTTGTATATATCCAAATCCCCCATTTTTATTCATTACAATAAAACCAGCCACAGTTCTAACTAGCAAAAACAATAGGAGAAAGCTGCCACCACCTCCAACGTTCGTTCTTTCTTTCTCTCTTCTTTTTCTTCAATGGTTAAATGGCATCTTTACTCGATACATAAAACTATATAACCTGCTGTAATAACAAAAGTCACAATATGCAACTCGAACAAAAAACAAAAAAATGTAGCTTCCTCATCCAGTATAGTAGTACAAAACTACAAATACCCCCTGCAACGTAGAAACACCACATTTCATTACAGCCCATTAACAATACACATTCATATGAATTAATTCCAGTCTATGAAACACAGATATGGCTCAAGTACTGATGAACCCTTGTGCTGTCACAAGTCGCTTTACAAAATGCGTGCTGGAGACAAGGTACTTACCTCAGAAGTAGTAGCGTTTGATAAATTCTGCTGCTTGACGAGAGACTCTTAGACAGTTTTAGGCTGCAGAAACAAAATTCCAGAATCAGGACAGAAGTGTGTACAGAAAATTTGTCAAAAGAACTCCAATCTATTTTTTTCTAGAAATTACCCAACTATATATTTTGCATTAAAGACTCGCAAACAAGTACACCGTGCCCAAATCTCAACTCAAACTTGACCTAAATGCCTACCCAGCTAAGTTAAGGTTGTGCTGCTGCTGCACGGAGCATCCCAGGCCAAACAATGAAATACCTAAGGAAAGTCTTAATTGTCCAGAGCACTATACCCATTCAGCCCCCAATTTCTACTTCGAAGTACTTCAACTTAGTCATGTAGCAATGTCGAGCCAAAGTCAAACCAATTTGCAACAGAAAAAATCATCAACTGAGAAATGAGGCTAACTGGTACAATAATTATAGACTTTTCAAGGCCACCCAATAATTCATTGTTAAGCTTCTGTTAGAATTGAGCATCCAATTCCTTATAGGCCAGACCTTTAAAGATATTGAAACCATTAGAAGTCATCCAAGACGAAGAATACTAGTAAAATAACACATAAAGCTCAAAGCTTGATCTATATTTCTTATGCCTGGGTTTCGGTAACAAATATGTTTAGCGAATTATAAGATAGCACATCTGTGGTGCTTTACCTTATCATCTTTTGGGGTAAAAATGGTTTTAACTGCATCAAAAACCTCTTGGACCGGTTTGGCAGCATCAATCTGAAAGCCAAACACAAAAGATCGATGGTTTAACTTGAAAAGAAATAAGGTTCAATAAATTTAATGTATAAGCATTAAGCCAATACATCAGGAAGTGATTTACCTTCTTAACTTTGCCCTTGGCAGCATAGTACTCAACCACCGGAAGACTAGAATCCAGAAAGACCTTGAACCGCTTCCTTATGGTTTCAATATTATCATCTTCTCTTCCCTTCATTGTTAAAAAATGGAAGGAAATCAGGAGTAGTTGAAAAGGAGAGTAAAGGGCTAATAACGTATTAGTCTATTCGCCTGTTCAGGAGAAAAGGATGTCACATTAACTCAACCTGGTTCCTGCTCAAAAGTCGCCTTTCCATCTCTTCTTCTGGACAATCAAAAAAGAGGACAAATTCTGGCTCGATTTTTGTCTGCATAATAATAACATTCTGCTGGTCAATATGATATCAATCTACTTGGATAAGAGAGAAACGAGTTTCTGCAAGAGTCTTACAACAGCTTCAAATGCAGCCCGGTTTTCCTCATTCCTAGGGAAACCATCAATTAGGAATTTGTCGTTGTCAATACCCAGTATTGCTTTCTCGAGGAGCTTTATTGTAACCTCTGAGGGCACAATCTTTCCCTCTTTGATCATTGTCTGAATCATGGTTCTGCACATCAAAAGTGGCAATCTTAATATTACTGCACCAATTCTAGCATCACGAGTAACAAGAAATAGAGCTCTATTCATAATGGCAGAAGAAGAATCCCAACAAGACAGGGAAACGGCTCTTTTTCCAGTGTTAAAAGTGATCCTCTTAGACAGCTCCAATAGAAAACTGTGAGTAGGCCTCCCAAATAATACATGTACTAGTTATGAGATTATGATGGCAAGAGATAATTAAGACAAAAGGACAAGCCATATATATGAACTTGGGCAAGCTTCCACAGACTACATAGATAAACATATTTAAAATAGATTCATCGGACAAAAGAAAAGCTGAATATCTAGCAGAGTCCCTAGAACACGGCCCCTAAGGAAAGGCATCTGAACAGGTTATAGCCACTACGAATCCAGTCACCATTACAAAACATTACACGGATAACAACTCGTGGGTACCTAATGGGCAAACAACATGGGAAAACACAGAAATTAGATATTGAGCTTCTTAAATAGCGAAATTAGTGCACTGACATACCCATTCTCTGACCCAGACTTGATTTCTGCCCGAAGAAGATCGCCTGCACTAAGATGTGTATAACCAAAGTGCTCAACAATATTTGCACATTGTGTACCCTTTCCGCTGCCCGGGCCACCTAATAAGCCAGATGGAAATTCCATGAGATAGATATCCAAGGGTTATAAGAATGCAGATTGAGGAGGCAAACAAAGAATGACCAGGTATTTCTTATTCAATCCAAAGACAAAGTCTGCATCAAGAACATTACTGGCCACTGGCCAGCTATTTCTTATTCAATGCAACTGTGCAGATGAGTAGGGAAGACAATAACTAGAGCATAGATGAAGGTAGGCCCGTACAAGACAGCATCGAATTCATCAAAAGAGGAACCAGGTCTTGGCATAAAATTGTCCACTTTCAGAAGCCGAAGAACTGAGTAGAACCATAGCTCATTAAACCTAACTCCTAAGGAAATAAACAGGGATAAGAAAAATACTCACCCAATACAAAAACAACGGTAGGCTTCTTCTCGGCTAAACTTCCATGGGTGCTCTACAATCAGACACATGAGATCAATGAGATTAACATAGCACTTGCCAGCATCCACAGGCATTAGAAGACCATGAATGGAGAAAATGGAGAAGGAAAAATATGTTGGCATTGCATTTGAGTTGTGAATCGCTTGCTGGTAAGAGAGCTCCTTTTCCAGAAGCTTAAACTCTGAGACTACCATGATCATTCTTTGCCATATAACAGAAGATTGACGCCCAATGCAAAGAAGCGACCCACACGACTAAACCAAAGTGGGGGAAACCAAAATTAGGGGAAACAACAAGAAAAGAAGAGCCTCACCATGGTCGCAGCTTCAGCAGCAGATCCCATTCGCTGTCAACTAAAGCTGCGGTGATGAGTAATGAGCTAGCTGCAAGTCAATGAATCAGTGAGAAGCACTGCAATTCGCATCAAATATTCAATGCAAACAGATCACATCAGGGAAGTTGAAATCAGACTGTAAGAAATGCAAGCGAGATCACGGTTCTGCCAAAACAGCCCTGATCCCACAATGAGAGGCCAGGGGAGGAAAAAGGGAGAGAATTTATCCATGGATCTCGACAGCTGATTGAAAGAAAAGAAGAAAAAAAGATAGAATGGATTCGCTAAAGCCGAGCAGCAAGTGTCATCGCGGGATCTGAAATCTATATTCAGAGAACCAATTTCAGTGTTTAGCCATTTCAGGGGATGTGGGAGAAGGAACAGGGGCAACAGCACATAACAATGGTAACAGTAACAAACCCAAATACAGATCTTGAAATTGAAAGAAGAAGAGTGGTGGGTTGGGTTGGATTGCCTTACGGGGAGAATCTGATCCAGTCCGCGGCGGGAATTGAGAAAAGATGTCTAAGCCGTTTCTTCCTTGCTCTGCAGACCTTTGATTTCGTGGGGGTTTGTATATATATAGAAGCAGAGAGAAGATGACGGGGGAAGAAGAAAGCACCCAAGAGAATGTGGGACGACAGCGAGGGAATCGTATGCGTTAAGTTGGGGCCTTCTTTTTTGAATCTGGGAGGAATTGAGAATTGAGTTTGAAAAAGGAGAGGTGGGGATGATTGTTTGGGAAGAAGATGCAGAAGAGGGAAGGAGAGGTCTGCTTCGGGCCAGGCCCAATATATCTTAAGGCCAGAGGTCGTTATGAAAGCCCAACTAAATTCTGGCGCTGGCGGGAACGAAACAAACGATGGCCGCCGATGGAATCCCAGGAAATGGGATCTCCTCGCCTTTTCCCTCCCTTCGCTTCTACGACTTGCAGTTCAGAAATGTCAAACCCTGTTGCCGATGCAGGGAACTAGATTACGAAGAAGCGAAAGTCCATCGCTATCGGTTGACCCCTTAAAATTATTTTGGGTTAATTAAATGTCGCATTAATTAGTCTCATTATTTAATTCGATACCGCATAGTAAAAAATGGTGTCGTTTGGAGTCAAACAACGTTGCGGATAGTTTAAACGAAATCGCAAGAAAGCTTGACGACACATAACTCACTCCTACCGTCACTCTAGAAAATGGCCAAGTGTAACCACCTCCTAAAGCGTAGTATAGCGGGTTTGGGTTTTAATGTCAACCCGGGTCCTAGATGTGCTGACTACTCAGTGAATTCTTATTATCTAGCGGTGAAACTTAAGTTCAGGTCCAAACAAGCAAACAAGCAAAGCAAGTAAAAAGGGTTGTTTTAAAGTCGAGATAGGTCACCCGGATATGGTTCCCCCTAGACTGCAGTTAAGCCGAATTGTAATTCACCAAGTTGAATTTCAATGATAGTTATACTGCGGGAGGTTCTTAAACAGTCTGAAGTCTCGACTAAAGGTCTCCAGACCCTCTCAATCTGAGTCCCCAGCGGGCGACTAACCTCCACCGGAGTAAACAGATTGAGGCCCTAACGAACCAAACCTCCACTAGCGAAGCAAATTCGGTACAGAATAGTGAATTGACTCCTCGACTAAAGTCGTCAATCCACTACCTTCAATCAAGGGTGCTCTATCAACCTAGGCAGATATTCTCATTCTAGGTTAAAGCAAAAACAACAGGAATTTGATCAGGATTCATGTCATTCAACAATTCAAACCTCAATTGAACATAATCAAATCATAGAATCTGTACTTGCGTTCATACAATCAGACCTAACATACAAATCTAGGCTTCTTCATACCCAGGTGAATAAGAAAGTTACTCCATAGAGAGAGTTGAGAAATCTAGCTCAGATGCGGAAACCATACTGTGAAGGATGATAATCTGCTTCTGGCACTCAATCGGATCTTCTCCAAGCTCAAGCCGGGCTCCAATGGTGATGGAGATCGATCTATGACACTTGCAGAATTAGGTTCGTCACTTTCTCTCACTTTTTTCTCTCTAAAACTCAGAACCCTTCTCCTTTGGCTGAAAATTGGGTTAAAAGCAGAAAATCCCGATCACACGGCCAGGCCACAAGACCGTGTGACTTCCCCAGCTGACCGTGTGAGTGTCCAAACGCGGCGTTTCGATTAGTGGGCTTCCAGGCATGCTGCACGGCCAGGGCCACACGGCCGTGTGAGTGTCCAGGCTGCCCGTGTGGGATTTGCCAAGCCTTCACACGGCCACAACGGGTCTCCTACACGGCTAGTGTGGCTTGAACCGTGCAATTTGGTGCCACATGGCCAGGTCACACGGCCGTGTGGGGTGCAAAAGTGTCCGTGTGGCTTCCTCAACTTCTTGCCAAACGTCCAATCTTCGTCCAATCGACCCCGAACTCGTTCCCAAGCCTTCATTCACGTGCTAGGACTTGAAATATCACAAACAAGAACAACCTAGCGTGAAATCGACCTAAAGCGCGGGAATCAACATCTCAAACGGCTCAAGAATAGGGGTAAAAACATGTGCAATCAATGGTCTATCAAATTCCCCCACACTTAACCGTTTGCTTGTCCCCAAGCAAACCTAACTCAAACCAATGCAGCTCTCCAGACCTCTATAGCAACAAACAACCCCGATCGTCGGTAGCGAATTTTCTAGATCATAAAGCAGCTTACGAGGTCAACTGGTCTTCTAAGACATCCCATATCTCTCTCAATGCGAGTACTAGACTCAAACCAGGATCATGAGAAGAAGTAGAAGTAAGACAGTCAGTTCATGGACAAAGGGACTCACAACATTCACAACCAAGGACTCGTTGTACCGGGGTGCTCTTTCACTTCATTTCACCGTTGGAACCCCTTTTGCTCACTTTCATTTACATTTTTTTCTTTTTTTTCCCTTTCATTTGGCGTGGTTCCAACTGCAGTCTTTTGAAAGGTCGACCCTTATTAGTCGAGCAAGAGCAATTTATGTATATCTGACACTCGCCAGAGTACTTCTTTTAACTCTTTTTCCTCAACTCGTGTGGAGGGTCAATGAAATTAAGGGGGGTCGGAAGCTCTATCCGTGCTCTTAAATACACATCCTCGAGTAGGCAAACCGTTCAACGGGTGGAAGTTTTACTTGTACTAGAGACAGCTTAGCTTCACCTTGTAGGAGTACCCCACTAAGGATCACTAAAATCTCCTCCAAAACCCGATTTTTGTGCAATGAACGGTGCCACACACGTTAGGCTTACCCCATGTTTAGGATTATGCTGATTTCGACATGGAGGACCAACTGCTTTTCATTTTCCACATGAGCACCATGTTCGATACTCGAGTCCACAACATAATTCAAACAGAGTCCACATTACCACATGACGGTCTTAACTCCACTAATTCACAAAATCAACCGGCATAACAGGATACCCGTGTGGCTTACCCAGCCTCTGTTTAATGCTTCATTTCTCCCTCGTCCGGACTCCGAATCAGTCGCCGTTTGATCACAGAAGCTCGTAGTCTCGTCCTCTTTCTTTTCATGACAAAATTCCATGATTATTTGTCTATAATATGAGGTAGAAGTCCATTATTCCTCAGGTCATGCTCGTGTTTCTTCTCACGAATTGCCAAATGATCTCCGATTGACTTGAAACTTGCGCCTATGCTTCAATTTACATGCTAGGACCTGAAATGTGACAAAGGAACACAACCTAGCGTAAAATAGTCCAAGAAAGCAGAAACTCAAGCCAAAATGATCAAGAAACGAGGGTGCAAACATGTGCAAATCCGATGTTATCAAATTCCCCCACACTTAACCGTTTGCTTGTCCCCAAGCAAACCTAACTCAAACCAATGCAGCTCTCCAGACCTCTATAGCAACAAACAACCCCGATCGTCGGTAGAGGATTTCCTAGATCATATAGCAGCTTACGAGATCAACTGGTCTTCTAAGACGTCCCCTATCTCTCTCAATGCGAGTACTAGACTTAAGCCAGGATCATGAGAAGAAGTGGAAGTAAGAGAGCCAGTTCATGGATAAAGGGACTCACACCATTCACAACCAAGGACTCGTTGTACCGGGGTGCTCTTTCACTTCATTTCACCGTTGGAACCCCTTTTTCTCTTTTTTCTTTTTTTCTTTCATTTGGTGGGGTTCCAACTGCAGTCTTTTGCGCGGTCGACCCTTATTAGTCGAGCAAGAGCAATTTCTGTACACCTGGCGCTCGCTAGAGTACTTCTTTTAACTCCTTTTTCTCAACTCGTGTGGAGGGTCAATGAAATTAAGGGGGGTCGGAAGCTCTATCCGTGCCCTTAAAAACACATCCTCAAGTAGGCAAACCGTTCAACGGGTGGAAGTTTTACTTGTACTGGAGACAACTTAGCTTCACCTTGTAGGAGTACCCCACTAAGGATCACTAAAATCTCCTCCAAAACCCGATTTTTGTGCAATGAACGGTGCCATACACGTTGGGCTTACCCCATGTTTAAGATTTAATGATTTTGACATGGAAGACCAATTGCTTCCCATTTTCCACATGAGCACCCTGTTCGATACACGAGTCCATAACACAATTCAAATAGAGTCCACATTACCACATGAATTCAACGGTCTTAGCTCCACTAATTCACAAAATCAACTGATAGAGCAGAGAGCTAGATAGGAAAAATCTTATACTTCAACATCCTCCATAGTGCTACACTACCTCCCTAGGTTGCACATTACTATAGAGACTGTCAATTCAAAGCATACTGAGCAGGCAATTTACAAGGAAACACGTACTTGGAGCCCTCAAATTTAAAAATTTGGACAGTGGACTAAGCTCCAAGCACACAAACAGCCAAACATTCACCCGCATACATAATCGAACACCCCCCCCCCCCACACTTAAGCACGACATTGTCCTCAATGGAGGAAAGATAAGGAGGGTAGAACGAAGTTACCAGATCAAGGGTGAATGATGATGGACGGGTCAGGTGGTGCATTCCAGGAAGAGAGTAATTAGCACACAAACACTACACAAAATCTCACAAAGGTTGAATTATTGACTCTAAAATCAAATAACACAACTGACTCAACCGAGGAGAAATAGAGAAAGAAATGCAAACCGACTGGTTGGGTTGCCTCCCAACAAGCGCTTCTTTCACGTCGTGAGCCGGACGATGGCTCCTAATTTTCGGTCCATGCTAGAACCTCCTTGAAGTTGAGGTTCTCGTCAATGAGGTGGATTCGCAAGTCACGAGCATGTGGTATGATTGGTGATGGAAGCTCGTGCACTTGATGCAGATGAAGTCTCCATCCTCGATACCTCTTCTTCTCTTCTCTCGTCTCATTGCCCCCAAACCATATATGACAACATCGATTGACCACCATCGCGTCCACCAAGAGGGACCGATGTCGATGTGGCTTTGGCCTGGCAAAGAGACACTACAAATGGGTCCTTGCTAAGCAGTTCCTCGAAGTTTGGTGGGGATATTACTTTTATTATAGGGCCGGTGCAAGCCTCTTCCACCTCAACTTCATCCTCAGCCTGGACACCACTCGCTTCTTCAACCCCCCTTCCTTCTTCAAAATGTGGTCTCTCTCCTCGGAAAAGATCAAGAACTACCTCTTCTTTGCTTTCTTTCTCATCCTCCACAACTTCTTTACTCACCCTTTCTCTCTCTTCTTCTTCCATAACTGATTGGAGAGCAAGTCGCCATGCAAGGTTCTCAATAAGTTCAGCTTGCATCTCCTCGCTCGGGCCCAGCATGTTAGAGCGGAAATGGGGAAAGTTGTGATCTACCATCAGAGGATACACTTGATCATGATTATCATGGGAGCTTTCTTTGACAACTTCTGTATGCTCC